TTATGGTTTCTCCTGTTTTGCTGCTCTTCCTAGCATGCTACTGAGAGTGCAGTGAAGATTTTCTCTGTCTCCTGCTGTCTGCTGTGGGTCCTCCTTCTCTCTGGGAGTGTAACTGAAAGAAAAACTTTACAAAGAAATAGACAAAATCCAGGCTGTCCTAAAAGGATTGCCTTGGTTTGGAGATGCGAACAGGAACTATTGAGGAAAGCTTCACTAACAGAATACAAGAGATAGAAGAAAGAGCCTCAGGCATTGAAGACAGAATAGAAGAAATGGATACATCAGTTAAAGAAAGTGTTAAATATAAAAAATTCCTGACATAAAACATCCAGGAAATCTGAGATCATGTTGGAGCCCACTAGGTTTTCTAGTGGCTGTACCCAGAAGGACTGCATAAGAAGTTGATTGGACCACAGACCTGGGTACCAGGTGACTGTAACTAGCAAGGGGGAGGTCTTTTGCTCCACCTCTTGGCATTGTTATAAATAGACCTTTGGAATAAAGTTCTGGGCCTGTGGATAAGGATCCAGGCCCACCCAAGTCTATCCTGTGCTTTCTCTCATTTCTAACTTAAAGTCTCTTATCCCTCATTCCTCAAGAGTTCCTGGGGTAAATAATAGTGGGGGCTGGTCCTCTATGAGATCATAGCTTAGAATAATGGGGATTTAGAAAAAAGAATCTCAGCTCAAAGATCCAGAAATATTTTCAACAAAATAATAGAAGAAACATTTCCTGACCTAAAGAAGGAGGTACCTATAAAGGTACAAGAAGCATACAGAACACCAAATAGATTGGACCAGAAAAGAAAGTTCCCTTGCCACATGATGACCAAGACATAAAACAAAAAGAACAAAGAAAGAACATTAAAAGCTTCAAAGGAAACGGAACAAGTAATGTATAAAGGCAGACCTATTAGAATTACACCTGACTTCTCAATGGAAACTCTAAAATGCAGAAGGGCCTGGACAGAAGTGATCAGATGTACTGCAGACTCTAAGAGACCACAGATGCTACCCCTGACTACTATACCCAACAAAACTTTCAATCACCATAGATGAAGGAAATAAGATAGTCCATGATAAAGTTAAATTTAAACAGTATCTACAAATCCAGCCCTGCAGATTGTGCTAGAAGGAAACTCCAACCCAAGGAGGTTAACTACAACCATGAAAACACAGGAAATAAATAATCACACATTAGAAAAACCAAAAGAAGGGAAGCACTACCATCACCACCACCACTGCCACCACCACCAACATCAAAATAACAGGAATCAACAACCATTGTTCATTGATAGCTCTCAATATCAATGGTCTCAATACCCCCATCCCAAAGATACAGACTAACAGAATGGATACAATAACAGGATCTATCCTCTGCTGCATATAAGAAACATACCTCAATATCAAGGATAGACATGACCTCAGGGTAAAGGGTTGGAGAAAGATATTCTAAGCAAATGGATGTAAGAAGCAAGCTGGTGTAGCCATTTTACTATCTAACAAAATAGACTTCAAGCCAAAACTAATCAAAAGAGGTAGGGGAGGACATTACATACTCACCAAAGGAAAAAATCCACCAAGATGACATTTCAATTTTTAACATCAATGTCCCAAACATAAGGGCACCCAAGTTTGTAAAAGAAACACCACACAACTTAAATCACATACTGACCCTAACACACTGATGGTGGGAGACTTGAATACTCCACTCTCACCAATGGATAGGTCATTCAGCCAAAAACTAAACAGAGAAACACTGGTGCTAATAGATGTTATAAACTTAATAGATATCTACAGAACATTTCACCCAAACTCAAAAGAATTTACCTTTTTTTCATTACCTCATGGAACTTTCTTCAGAATTGACCACGTACTTGATCACAAAGCAAATATTAATAAAGAAAATTGAAATAACTCTCTGTATCCTATCAGACCACCATGGGTTAAATCTGGATTTCAACAACAAGAGAAACAACAGAAAGCTTACAAACTCATGGAAACTGAACAGCTCTCTACTGAATGAAAGATGGTTCAAGACAAAAATAAAGAAAGAAATGAAAGATTTTCTAGAATTCAATGAAAGTGAATACACAGCATACCCAAACTTATGGGACACAATGAAAGCAGTACTAAGAGGAAAATTCATAGCACTAAGTGCCTTATAAAAAATTGGAGAGATTTTATACTAGCAACTTGACAGCATATTGAAAGCTCTAGAACAAAAAGAAGTAATCATACCCAAGAGGAGTGGACAGCAAGAAATGATCAAACTGAGGGCTGAAATCAATACAATAGAAACAAAGAGAACACTACAAAGAATCAATGAAACAAAGAGTTGGTTCTTTGAGAAAACCAACAAGATAGACAAGCCCTTATCCACACTAACTAAAAGACAGAGAATATCCAGATTAACAAAATTAGAAATGAAAAGGACATGATGACAGACACCAAGGAAATTGAGAGAATCATAAGGACATACTTTAAAAACCTGTACTCCAACAACTTGGAAAATGTAAAAGAAATGGATAATTTCCATGATAGGTACCATTTACCAAAGTTAAATCAAGATCAGATTAGCAATTTAAATAGACCTATAACTCCTAGTGAAATAGAGACAGTCATTAAAAGTCTCCCAATCAAAAAAAAAAAGGCCAGAGCCAGACAGTTTTAGCACAGAATTTTGCTAGATTTTCAAAGAAAAATTAATGCCAATACTCCTCAAATTATTCCACAGGATAGAAACAGAAGGAACATTGCCCAATTCATTTTATGAGGCCACAGTTACCCTGATACCCAAACCACATCAAAATAAAGAGAATTACAGACCAATTTCCTTCATGAACATAGATGTAAAAATACTCAATAAAATACTTGTAAACCAAATCCAAGAATATGTCAAAAAGATTATCCATCATGATCAAGTGGGCTTCATTCCAGAGATGCAGGGATAGTGCAACATATGAAAATCAGTTAATGTAATCCACCATATAAATTAACTGAAAGAAAAAAAATATGATCATCTCATTAGATATGGAAAAAGATTTTTGAAAAATCCAACACCCTTCATGATAAAAGTCCCATCGGGATTAGGGACACAGGGGACATACCTAAACATAATAAAGGCAATTTACAGTAAGCCTATAGCTAAGATAAAATAAAATGGAGAGAAACTCAAAGCACTTTATGGTGATATTTTATTTGTATTAAAATGTTATTTGTATGTTAATAAATAAAGTTGCCCGGGGGTCAGAGCTATTAGCAAGCCAGTTAAATGCTCATCATATTGAAGATTCAACCAGCCCTTGGAATTCTCCTGTATTTGTTATTAAAAAAAAAATCTGGTAAATGGAGAATGGTAACAGACCTTAGAGCAATTAACAAAGACAGAGAAAGATTTGCTTTCACAGTGCCTACTTATAATAATTCTCAACTGGTTAAAAGATTTCAATGGAGGGGTCTCCCACAGGGAATGTTGAATAGCCCAACTTTGTGCCAATATTTTGTAAAACAACCATTAGAAGCGGTACGTAAAAAATTTCCTAAATCTATAATTTATCATTATATGGATGATATTTTATTAGCTGACTCAAATGCAGATACTTTAGAAAGAATGTTTGAAGAAGTAAAGAAAATTTTGCCTTGTTGGGGATTACAGATTGCTTCCGAAAAGATACAAAGAGGAGATTCTATTAATTATTTAGGATATAAAATAGAACTTCAAAAAATTAGACCTCAAAAGGTGCAAATTAGGAGAGATCGACTACAGACTCTTAATGACTTTCAAAGATTATTTGGAGACATTTCTCATCTAAGAACTATTGTTGGGGTAAAAAAGTGGTCTATCAATTTAACGTGAGATTTGGAAAGGATACCTGTATACCATGATATTTAAGTGGCATACATGCAGCTTTTCTGTCTCTATCTGCTATTATTTGGATGTGGTTTGAGTGTGGTTCCAAGAATTCTTGTTTAGTCAATTCAAGCTTAGTCCTCAGCTTGACAATGTTGGGATATGGTGGAAAATATAAGAAGAATATAGTAGAAATGGAAGATGTAAGTTAGCTGGGTCATGGGAGTATCTGTCCTCAAAATAAATTAAGGTAGTTCTCGTGGGATTCCAGTTCTCATTAGAATAATGAAATCCTACTTTCTGTCTGCCTGTTTCATAATGTGATTGATCTCTCTTGCATATGCTTCATGTACTGTGATGGTGTTCTCCATGAGGTCCTCACTGGACCTCAGCTGAGACTGGTGTTTTGCTCTTAAACCTCTAAGATGTGAAGTAAATAAGTCCCTGCTCTAGAGGAGTGCTATGATGCTCATATTTCTTGATGTATTTTTTTGTGTGTCTTTGGAAAGGTCACTTACTCATCTGATGCTTTTATTTCTAGAGCTTCAAAGGATGACATATTCTCTTTTTGAGATATCTGCTAAGATGCACCCTTTCAGTTGCTGAAAATCAAAATAAAATACATCTCATGAAAGACACTTAAAATTCTTTGGAAAAAACATTTGAAAGTATGAAGGCATTTCAGAATCATGTTCTAATGTACTAAACTGTGTTGTAATTAGAAACAGTACAGTGTAAGGATAGAGTATAATGATGATACTGTATTTAGGGTTTTTTTTTGGTGAAGGTTTTAAGAGATTTTATTAATGAATTTTATGTTCTTATATTTTATTTTTACTTATTCTTCTGAGAATAGATTTGGGCACGATGTTTAGTAAATGTTTCTTACAGTTGAAGGGTACAGAATCTATTTAATAGAATACATTTACAAAAATATTATAACCATTATTTCCTTGATGATAGCAGTTCAAGTAATTGATTGGAGCTTTTATGTTTTCATAAACATGCTTCATTTATCCTGTAATTCTTTTTATGGGATCTTACAGTGTGAGAATTTTATTAAAATTATAGTTCTATTATGTGGGAAAAGTTGTTGAAGGTTTGGAAGTCCCTCAAAAAATCTGATTAATCTTTACCTCTTCTTTCAGCTTGCAGCCATTAGTGATGTGTTTGTGGAAAACTATGTCCCTGGCAAACTTTCTGAGATGGGCCTAGGGTATGAAGATGTAGACAAGATTGCTCCTCACATCATCTACTGTTCCATCACAGGTATTTCAACCCCGTGCTATCTTTAGTGAGATTCTTTTTCTTCTATAAGAAACTTACATTCCTTCTCCCAAAGCCACAGAAACTGCTGAACAGAACTATTAAGGACCTAAACTGGACATTTCATAGATTTATTGGTTATTTGTATTTCTTTTCTGAATTGGCAAATTCACATTTATACATAATTATAGTTAGGATCAAAAGGTTTTCTGGGCCTTCAGTTATTATTGTGGAACCTTGAGTTTTCTTCCAGTTCTCAAATTCTGTAGTTTAAAAAAATTCTTATTTATTTTATGTGTAACGTGTTTCCATGCACACCAGAAGAGGGAATCAGATCTCATTACATATAGTTGTGAGCCACCATGTGGTTGCTGGGAATTGAACTCAAGACCTCTGGAAGAGCAGCCAGTGCTCTTAACCACTGAGCCATCTCTCCAGCCCTTTGTCTTTGTTTTTAAACTCAGGGTCTCATCTAGACCATGCTGACTCTTGACTTCTATGTTGTAGCTGAGGATGATCTTGAACTCCTAATCCTTCTGTCTCCATTTTCTGAGTGCTAGGCTTACAAGTGTGTGCTACCATAATGGCTCAAAATGTCAGATATAATGAAGAAAAGTCCTTGGAGAAAGATGATATAAGCTAGTGTTTCTCAGCTAAGAGGAAAATGGGTGGATCCCATGGTTTTTAGTGGTAGGGCTAGGGGATTAAGGAGGAATGGGGCAAGGCAGTCTGGAATAAAACTCCTGTCATCTATCTTGATTTCCCTTCATTACTACCTCCTGACAATCTTTAGAATAATATCTGCACAGTGTCCTGAATTGCTAAGGGACCTGAGGCTGCATAACTATTTAATGGTAAGTAGTTTTAAAACCCAAGCTTCTTATAGTAAAAATGTTAAACATTCTTAGACACCATAGAAATGCAAATCAAATCTGCATTGAGATTCTGCCTCCCCCAGTCAGAGTGGCTATCCTTAAGAAAACAAGCAACAAAACACTTTGGTGGTGGTTGGGCCTGGGGCAAGGGGGCTGGGAATCGTACACCTTTGATGAGAGTGTAAGTTTTTCTGGCGACTGTGGAAATGAATAAGAATAGTATCTCAAAAACCTAAAGTTAGAAATAACATATGATTCAGCTATACCACTCCTGGGTCTATGCCAAAATGGATCAAAGTCAGCATATGTTAGAAATATCTAATAGTGCTTATTACCGCACTACTCACAATAGCTTTGTTATGGAATCAGTGTAGTTTGACCATAAACACATAAACAGATAAAGAAAATATAGTGTAGAGACACAATTAAGTTTTAATTAACTATAAAGAAGAAAGAAATTATGTCAGTTGCAGAAAAATAGATGAAACTGGAGATCATTATGTTAAACAAAATAAGACTCAGAAAGACAAATATTGCATGTTTTCTCTCATATGTTGAATCTAGAGTTTTAAAAACATGAAATCAGAAGAGAGGCTATTTGGAAAGAGGAATAAGGTTCATCAGGAAGGGGTAGAAAATTTTGCTGTAGGTAAATATGATCAAAATAGATACATAAATGAAAATTACATCATGAAACCCATTATTGTTTAAATTACTATATGATAAATCCCCCAAGCTTTTTGATTTAATATTAAGTGATTCATCACCTTCCATACTTTGACAGTCATTCTGAAATGCTATGGTGAAACACCATGATGTTTCCTCCATGGGGAGGAAAGGGTATATTTCATCTTAGTGCTTATCGTACATCCAGGTAAATCAGGGAAGAGACTTAAGGCAGGAACCTGGAAGCAGGAACTGAAGTAGAGGCCACAGAGGAATCTTGCTTACTGGCTTGCTCCCCATGACTGCTTAGTCTGCTTTCTTACAGCACACAAGACCACGGTGGCACCAGCAACAGTAAGATAGGCCCTCCCACATCTGTCATCAAGAAAGTGCACCAAAGGCTGGCCCACAGGCCAATCTGTTGGGGACATTTTCTCAATTGAGGTTCCCACTTCCCATATGACTTAGCTTGTGTCACACTAACAGAAGACTGGCCAGCACAAGTGCTGACATGTGCTTTGTGATCATAGGATGTTGAGCAGCTCTACCTGAGATTTGCTTTGGCCACTCTCTTTCATCTATTGTTAATCATATTTGAACCAGTAGACGTCAGGAGCAAAGCAACTAGTCAGATAGTCTAGTCAACAGATCATTTGAAAGCAAAAATCATCTATGAGATGTGAGTTTGAGTGGATATAAAGCAAGATTCATTTCTTTTGTAGAAGTTTGTCATTCTTGCTAGATTTCTTTTTAATTTTTAAAACTAAGACTGATTATACCAGTCTAACATTGCACATGTCATCATGGGGATTCTTGTCTTTCCTGATGTTTCTCAGGGTTGCTACTGTATTGTCAGTGCTGCCCAAGTCCAATTCGGCCCCTTTTGGAGTTGGCTCTATTACTGATGAGAGTAATGTTCAAATGCCTGGGATTTGCTTTAACGAAGCCCGACAATTGTATAGTTGAAATTGCCCCAATCTCTGAAATCTGGCACACTGAACGAAAATGCTAAACTGATTTCAAATGCGGAAGGGCCTGGTTATTATTTCTGTTGTCCTTATCATTTCAAAGGAAGCTAAATGTGAACAGTAGGGGGCAGTGTTTAAAAAGCTATTGTTCACTAGCAATTACTTTTTGCAAAAACTGCATTGCTCTGTGAACCTGAGTAGGGCAAATCTCTAATGATACCGATTTATACTTTTAAAATGGAAGACTTTAAAAATTATATTAATATTATTAATATTCTTTTAAAAAATTGAAAATAATTTAAAAATTATTATTAAAATTTAAATGATTAAAATCATTTAAAAAATGGTCACTCCGTACATCTCTATACTTGTAGATCTACAAAGGAACCTCTCTTAACAATGTAAAGTTGTGTCTTTGGAGCATGTTTTTAATAAAAAATTTAGCAGCGTGAATCCTTTCCATCACACTTAAAAATATTTTTTTCTATTTGTCCACTCCATTACTTTTTCCTTCTGGAAGGATAAACATGATAGTATTTGACTAGATTGAATTTTGGTGGGAACAGTGAATATCTTTTAATAAAAATTCCTTTGGGATGGGGAATTCGGGAAAGGAGGTGGCTTGGAAAATGAAACTTGGATTTTGCTTCTCCATCATTAGTATCTTCTTAATCTCCACCCTGTATGGATAGGATTCCTCTTGAGGAAAGGGCCTGGCAAGGGATACTAAGGGCTCAATTCAGAGAACATACCCAAGGGTTTGAACTTACTCTTTAGCTCTAAGTAGAAAGACCTTGGAGCATGCCTCTGAAGCACAAGGAGAGCATATATTAGAACCAAAGGACAAGAATAGCCAAGCCAGTTTTTAGTAAGAACCACGGCAGCATATTTCCATGTTAAATATTAAGACTTAACAAATGATGTTGTGAGTGTACTATGTCAGAAACATAGATAATCATATTTGTGTCTTTATTCCATGTCAGATTTATTGAGTAATAATAAATTCATAAAGTATGGCAGTTTTGTTGGCAACAATTTGCTGAGCAGCCCATTCTTCTCCATAGATCTAGCTGAGCCAAATGCAAGTTATTTTATCACAATTTTATTTACTAATATTAACTCTCAGATCAGAGCTTTCATTACACATCACACAGTAAATCTCTGTATATGTATATTATAGAATGGTTTCAAAGGAGTTAAAAAGGCCATAGCAGAATTAAAGGAGTTTCAAAGAGGCCTGAGAGGCAGAACTGATAGAGATGGAAAGAGTCTATGGGATAACAAAATGATGCTGCAAATGTTGCTGCTGAGTCAGGCTACAGGGCCCAAGCTGAGCTGCAGAAATGAGGTTTAGTGGAAGCTATAGAGGCAAAGGGCAGGACTGGGTCTAGGCAGATGAATGGATGGATGGACAGATAGCAATTCAAGAAAACTGTGTCAAGAGTAAAAATAGAGCTGAGCTGAAGTCTCTGGGACAGCCAGGAGCCCATCCTCCCTGTCTATACCTGGACATACGTTGGGTAGTCAGTTGACAGGTTGGTGTGAGAAATACCATTGCAGTGTTGTGTCCCCTTGTTCATGGGGTCTGGGTGAGGCAGTTATACTCCTTTGTCAACCTGGTATGTCTGATAATTTCTTGATCCTGTTTAATTAATTTATTTATTTGATATGGTTTAAATAACCCATATGCTTCTATAGTCCACATTTACTTAATAAATTTATAGGGTTGTGCCCTTTCTTACTTTTGGAATGAGTTGTTTATCAGCCCGTGCTTTGTGGTTGGGACTGGACAGACAGTGCTTTGTACATGTCCACCAAAGTACAGAGTGAAATGCTGCTTGCAAAATGGAGTCTGTACAATGCAATTCACAGTCAGAAAACCTTCTGTTTTAGACAATATAAAGTAACTTAGGGTAGTGCACAGCCTGATCTCAACAAATGTATTTTTCAGACAATTATGGTAGAATCAGTTCCTAGCAGTATGAAGAAAGGCAATGAGCTTTTAGTTTGTTCTATATATTAAGTCCTAAGTATGAAAATTCAAACTTTAAAATATTTTGAAAATATTATGTTTTGAGACTATTATAGGAGAATATCTTCATGACTAAAGTGTAAGGAAGAGTTTTGTAGACAACACAGAGTACAAACCACAAAGAAAAATGTTGGTCAATTTGACTACTTTTTAAAATTAAAAACTTTTGTGCATTAAAAGGTACCATTAAAACGTTAAAAGATAAGTCATAAAATCTTGGAAGAAAAATCCAGAATGAAAAAAATCAAATTAAATGGAAAAAGAGTTCAACAGAAAAAAGAACAAGCTCTAAAAAGGAAACTTAAAATTAGTAAATATGATATTCAGCCTGATTTTTCTTCAGGAAAATGCCAAGTTAAAGAAATGCACTCCATGCTCATGAGTTTAATAAATATTTAAGTCTGACATCAAAAAACATGAGCACCCCCATGAAGCCTTTGTACATTGCTGGTAAGAACATGT